CTTCTATCTTTGACTTCACCTTCCCAGTAAAAGGTAGAGCTGGCATTCAGACCAAGACATTCCTGCTCTGGAGCCCATACTTACAACCAGTATCCATGGAACTGTTCCCATGGCATTGGATCACAGTGCACAGGGCTCATTATACAAAATAAAGTCCGTTAGCCTGCCATTCAAGGCCTTCTCCAGAGTGGTCCTGATCTACTCTCCAATTTATTTCCCACTATTTCCTACTTCCCACATGAGTACTTTACTTTAACAATTTTATTCCCTGTCATGTCAAATTTTTTTTCCATAAATACTGGCCTCATTTTCATACTTCTGAATCTCAATTAGCATAATTTTAAACACTTCCTCAGAGGCCAGTGACTCCATTTACACACTTCCATTCTTGCCTCTGGATGTTCTGTCTCCTTTTTTCTGAATTCTCAAATGACACCAGCTGAACTTTCAGTTTGTCACTTTCTGATGTTACAATAAAACATCACAACTCCGTACAAATCCCCTGTACGGGGCTTTCAAAGGTCAGACTCAAGTCTACCCCAGCACCAACTAGCACAATGACCTGTGCATAGAGGCACTCAGGTGTTTCTCATGGAAAGTAAACTTTACTTGAATGATCTTGGCCCCAATTTACATGTTTTATTCTATCAAGTGGGAGAGAATCATTATATATCTGTCTAAAGCTAATCTTCTTCATATACCCTGGCCTTTAAAAATGTAGCCTAACCAGTTCACCTTAGTGGTGTTTAAATGTATAAACCTGGATTCTAATTCAGTCCTATAAATTATTAGCTGTTGCTTATTGGGCAAATTAACATTTCTGTGCCTCAATTTCTTAGCCTGGAAAAGATAATAGCATTGACTTCAGAGTGTTAAGTTTTCCCATAAAAATGAAATGAGTTAATTCTTATAAAGTATATAAAATAATGCTACCATATCATAAGCACTCAGTAAAATCCACTTTCTCAGCTAGTATAATTCCCTTTTGGCAATGATATTTACCAATTGGGGACATATGTTCTATTGTTGCTAGGAACTTAAATTTAATCAAGCATTATAAATGGATTTTTAATGGGCATATCTTATTTTCTTAAATAAACCCCAAGCCCCACGAACAAGGGGAAACTTTGAGTATTGAGCATATGCCAAGAATTGGACCAAGTATTTATGCTTTTCATAAATATTTCATTCATTCCTCATAATAACTTTTATAACAGTATAAGCTGGTTATTATTTTCCAATTATAGATAAAAAAACAAAAATGAAGGTTTAGGAGAGTAAGTAATTTGCTCAAGCTTTCTAAGCTAGTAGTAAAGCTAGTATAGTTTTTGAAGGCAATGACAATAATTCATATGTTCAATATATTTATTAAAACAATTGCTCTCTATGTTCAATTATCTTCATCACTAAATATTTGTTGCTGTATTTGAAGCATATATATCTAATAAGTTAGCTTTTCATTTTTAATGTACCATAATACATGACCTTATTTTTCACTTTTAACATGATTTTTATAAAAAAAAATTTATCTTAGATCCCATTTTAAACTTTCCTCCTTAGTAATGAAAAGAGTGTGATATGCATTTAGTGTATTTTCATGTAGCTAGAGACCTTTGTGAATTTTTGTTCTGTTTTACTTTTCTCCATGCATTTGTGTTAATTCTATCAATTTATGTTTATCTTAATTCTTCTTCTTCTTTGGATTAATGCTGTGTCTATATTGAATAGACCACTGTTGCAAGAAATGCCAGAGAACATTTGCTCTACACCTTTGATTCATTGAGGTGGGAAATAGGGCTGAAGCAGATGACGGACGTCCCAGCATTGTGCAGAGAGTGAGGGCACGGGAGAGGCCAGAACCAGACTTCTCTATCTACACTCTCACGCTCTCTTAGTTCGGCTGTGCTGCCACCTGCATTATAAATAAACACCACCTCCCACTGTGCTGTTGGGCCAGTGCCCTTAGTTTACTTGTCATTATATATTCCCACAGAGGGAAAGCATGAAAATAGGAAATATATGAAGAGGTAAAACCTCTGTGCAACTTTTCCACTTCTGCAACTCCTTCAACTTCTACCTGTATTGAAGTGTAAAACAGGGAAATACAGACCCAATGTCCTTTCTCCACAAAAGGCAGGGCTACTCGAAAAGTGGTCAGCACCTGAGTGTCTAAGAATTCTTACCACCATGTGATGAGACAAGTACAGAATAGGGAATGAGCATTTACAAACAAGTGTATCAGTTTAAAAGAGTAATTTGTTATCAGTTCAATCTAATAATGACAAAACTTGGTCTTCCATTTTCTTTGGAGTTTTTTAATTTTCTTGGTTATTAATTTTACTTGTATTCTGCAGTGATACTGATTACGAAAAGATTGGGAGAAGGGAGTCTTTCGGCACAGATTATTTGAAAGATTCTGTTTTAAAGGGCTTAGGTTTGAGTGCCACCAGTTTTTTTAATAAAGTATTCCTGATGTTACTGACAAATAGAGATTTTAAAATGTATATTATTTGACCTAAGCCTTCTTATGCCTCATATCACCTCTAGCTAGATTAGTAATTATTCGTGTGTTTGTCTTATAAATTTTGAACAATTACAACCTTAATGAGAACAAGTTGTGTGTCCACAGCATATAATTCATAAATTTCATTAACTATTCTGAGTTATTCATAGATTTGAAGAGGGGAAAAGTTATAACTACAAATAGATTATTATTTCTGGAACCCAGAAAAAGGATTCAGCATATATAGATTAAATAAAACCCAACTCCAATCCTGGAAGCGATCAGGAAATACAGTAACGTCTCAGGGTATAAATTCAATATCCACAAATCAGTAGCCATTGTATATGCCAATAACAGCCAAGCTGAGAAGCAAATCAAGGACACAATTTCCTTCATAGTAGCTTCAAAGAAAATGAAATACTTAGAAATATACCTAACAAAACAGGTGAAAGATCTTTTCAAAGACAGTTATAAAACCCCAAGGAAAAAAATTGCAGAAGACACTAACAAATGGAAGAACATATCATGCTCTTGGCTGAAAAGAATCAACATTGTCAAAATGTCTATTCTACCCAAAGCAGTCTACAGATTCAATGCAATTCCCATTAAAGTATTAACATCATATTTTGAAGAACTGGAAAAAATAGTACTTTGTTTTATATGGAACTAGAAAAAACCACATATAGGTAAGGCTATTCTTAGTAATAAAAACAAAGTTGGAGGCATCACCCTACCAGACTTCAGGCTATACTACAAGTCCAAAGTAATCAAAACAGCATGAAATTGGCATAAAAATAGAGATATAGACATATGGAACAGAATAGGAAACCAAGAGTTGAAACCAGTCTCTACTTGCCGTCTGATCTTTGATAAACCTAACAAAAGCATACAGTGGGGAAAAGAATTCCTATTCAATGAACAATGCTGAGAGAACTAGATAACCACATGTAGAAGACTGAAACTCGACCCACACCTTTCACCACTTACAAAAATTGACTAAAGACGGATAAAAGACTTAAATCTAAGACATGAAATGATAAAAATATTGGAAGAAAAGTGTGGAAAAAATCTTGACCATGTTGGATTGGGGAAAGATTTTATGACAAAGACTTCAGTGGCCATAGCAACAATGACAAAAATTAACAAATGGGATTTAATTAAACTGAAAAGCTTCTGCATAGCTAAGAACACAAGTAAAGCAAAAAGATACCCTTCAGAATAGGAAAAGATATTTTCAGGGTATGAATCTGATAAAGGGTTGATAACTAGAATCCATGGAGAACTCAAATCTATCAACAAGAGAAGAGTAAACAGTCCCATCTATTACTGGGCAAGAGATATGAACAGAACCTACTCTCATGAAGACAGATGAATAGTGAACAAACATTTGAAAAAATACTCATCTTCCCTGATCATCAGAGAAATGCAAATCAAAACCAACTTCAGATATCACCTATAGTCAGTGGGAATAGCTCAGATCACTACGTCTCAAAGCTGCAGATGCTGGCGTGGATATGGAGAAAAGGGAACACTTACACTGCTGGTGGGACTGAAACCTAATGCAACCTTCGTGCAAAGGAGTGTGGAGAATCCTCAAAGAACTCAAATTAGACCTCCCATTTGATCCTGCAATCCCATTACTAGGCATCTACCCAGAAGGAAAAAAACAAACAAACATTTTATCATAAGGACATTTGCACTAGACTGTTTATCGCAGCTCAATTTACAATCACCAAAATGTGAAAACAACCTAAATGTCCACCAATCCAGGAGTGGATTAACCAGCTGTGGTATATGTACCATGGAATACTATTCAGTCATTAAAAGGAGAGAGACTTTACGTCTTTTTAATTCACCTGGATGAAGATTGAACACATTCTTTTTAGTAAAGCATCACCAGAATGGAGAGGCAAGAATCCAATGTACTCAATTCTAATATGAAGGCAGTAGATGATCTACTACAAGGAGGGGGATAGGGGCGGGAGGATGCAGGTTGAGGAGGGGGGATGCAGATGGGGGTTCATAGTGTACGGAACATCTCTTGGGGGTGGGACACAATTATAAGAAGGACTTTATCTAACAAACGCAATCAGTGTAACCTAATTCTTTGTACCCTCAATGAATCCTCAACAACAATAGCAATAAAAAAAATCCAACTCCATATTTTTTACATGAATCTTTAGACCAGTGGGAGAAGTGAACATAGGCAGTAACCTTATTTCTCCTTAATGGGAAGCCAATAAGTTATCAGAAATTGTCTTAAAATAAAAAACTCTAAGGACTACTGAAATTTTAGTATAAGCTAAGTTGCTATACTTATACAATTTATGGCAATTTCCAATGCAGTTCCCATAATTACTCAGTTGTGTGCAATTGCATCCCAACTCCTAGGTGTGTGGACTCAAACACTTCACCAGTACAGCAAATCGTACTCCTGATTACTAAGGAAATCAGAACAGGACATTTACTTCACAAGTCAGCTCTAGACCTCACTCACCAAAGTATTCATCAGCAGGAGGATTTTCCATGTCATACAGCATCTTTTTGGTCAGGTGCTCAAGCTCATCTTCTGGGCGGAATGAAGGGGGAACAGATGTAGGCCCCATTGACCCGGGGTGTCCACCCTGGAAGGTAGAAACACACAGTTCTTTAATTACAACCTACATCATCCACCAAGGCCATAAGCATCAACAAGTGATGTTTGCATTGGAGACGATAGAACACTGGACTGGGCTGTAAGGAGAACGGGGGTTTTGAATTAGTTTTATCATTTATTCAGTGGCTAACATGGACATATTTTTATTTCCTTCCCTTATCTAGATGAGTCATCTATCAGGCTTTAGAAACCCATGTTTACAACAGAAGGAATCTATTTTGTTCAGCAATTGCTAAGCAATCACTACAGACTGTTATATATTTATGAAAAATGATAAAAATGGGTCTTTCTCCCTTATAGATCTTAAATAATATATTAACATTCATATATCAACATTAACATTAATGTATTATATATTAATAAATAAGGAAAAAAGATGTAGGAAGTGCACAATTGGGATATGGACAGGGACCTCATGCATAGTTCTGAGGCAGCTGAGCAAGTAGGGCTTATTCAGCTAAAGATAAGGCAACATACACATAGAAGTTTCTCACATTCATGTGAAAAAAGTCAAATAGCATAGAAGATCCTGGCAGCTGTGAACTTCTGGGCTACGTATAAAGTTTGAGATAGGAAATGAGGTGAATCTTATCAGTACTGGAGTCCAGAAAGTGAATCAACTGGTGCCAGTTCTTTTGTTCCAGTTAAGGAAGTTGAGTCATTTTTTTCCCCAGCACTGCAAAAAGCCAACTTTCAAATGTGGATAGTAAGTGGTATTGACACTGAGGATGTTTCAAGAGGTGAGTACCCCAGAAGTCTGTCCATGTAAGAGAATCAAGTGTCAGGATATTGAAGATAATGAAGAATCCAAAGTGTGTAGAGAAAGAAGAAAGGTCAGGTGCTAGATGTAAAGTCACTTTGTGGTATGTAAATACAACAGAATTTCTTACATTTTCCTTTGCCTATAACTTTGACCATTTCCAGTATCGCACCCCAACATCCTTCATCAGTGTTACAATGTCAAAATACTATTGTTAATAAACCTTAAAAATGCTAAAGTCAAAACTAAACCGTAAAATTAAAACTTAAATATACTAAAAGCTTCAAAATAATGCTGATGTCCACCACGACTAATGGGCAGGAGATGGAAAAGGCTCTTGTTGAGATGTTTATTCTTAAAACAGTTGGCTAAGAGCTTCTCTTTTCAGAATGTTTATGAGAATCAGTTCAACAAGATTAAAAGCTACATATTCATTTTCCATTACTTTCACTACACCAAATGAGTTCTTGGATGTGAAAATCCTGTAAAGTACAAATCCTTGTACAAATGTCTTACTACCAACGTGCATTTCAACAACTCCTAGAGGGATATTGATCATTTGTGCTATGTATAAGGCATTAGATACCTTCTAATAATAGAGGTGAGCATGTTTGGTATCTATTTGGCCTTTTTCTATATAATAATTTCCCATTTTTTTGTTTCCTACTGTGTGTCTGTCTTCCAAAATCCTGTAAAGACACACAGTAGGCTGGAAAGGCCAACAATCTTTTATGTTGATCACTATCCTCACCCTGAGATTTTATTTCATTGTTGGTTTAGAAGCTGGAAAGCAGTGAATAAACTCTAACATATGGTCAGGTTACAGAAACAAAATAATCAAACTGTATGCCTGGATCTGAAGAATCATTGTGTTCATTTTCTCCTTATAAAATAGAGAATTACAGACTTATAAAGATCAGAGAGAGCTAGTCATGATAAAGTCAGGGCAAAAGCCCATCCTAGACTTCTCATTTGTCCAATGGATGTTAAAGGTTAAACTTGGAGCCTCCTTAAACTGTAAACATCACCTGAAGTATAGTTTTAGTGTGAGAGTTAAAGGAGCTATTAAATTATTCATTTATTCTTCTGGTGATTAGCTTTTCCCCTTGTTCTTACAGTGACTATTTTGTGTGCCCTCTGCAAACACTAGAGAGGGACACAAAGATGTATTAGACACAATCCTTGCCCTTGAGAGGATGGAGTCTAGTGGGGGTAGGAGACATGAACAAACCAGTAGGTATAAAAAAATGGCACAATGTATCATTGGTGGGCACTTACATAGACAGAAACATTGGATGATTATTTACCAGTATTATCAAACTTTTAACGATATACATGCTATCAACTTCTAGGAAAATTTCATAAAAAATACTCACACAAGAACGTAAAATTCTATGACCGGGACTTGTCACAGGAACAATAGTTAGAACTTCCTTAGGTGAGCACCTCCTTAAGTTGACCTAATTTTCATAGACTGGACATGCACCACATGTACGTATCAGTACAGGAGGCCTAGTTCCTTATGTTGACCAGCTTGTTACATTCCCTTGTGGTCAACTTATACTAAAGAGGAGGAACAAAAAGTAACCATGTAACTATCCATCAAAGGAATTGCCTAAACAGAAAATCATAGTTATATACATTGTAAATCGCTACACAGGGCACGCAAAGAGGGCCAAGGCATGTTAACATATTAACAGATCTGGTTGCAGAATAGGATATTTAAATGATGGTCCCCTTACAGTAAAAATAAGTACAGTTTCATTATTTACAGATCAACAAAGATGCTGGAAAAAAGTATGAAAAAATATATTAAAATTTTATAGGAGATTATCTCTGCATGTTGAATCCTAGGGTTTCTCACTTTCTAAATTTGCTTTGTACTTTACAGCATGTAGTTTTACTTTTGTAATCCATGACTATAACCTTTTTTTTCAACATGATGATTTCAAGTGATAAAGTGCCAAACTCCTGGAGCAGGCTTCTAACCCAGGCAGACAGAGAACTCCGGGAGAGGCAAAAGCTCAGAGCTGAGAAGCAGTGTGACGTGAGCAGGAAAAATGACAAGTGGGTCTGTGGTCAAGTCTGGAGAAATGGAAGGACAGGAAGGGTCTACTTGTCACTGCCATGTCACACTCAGGTGGTCAGGGCTTCTCTACAAGTCAGAGGTTCTAGGCTTTGGGTGACACATTGGACAACTCTCCCAATCTGATCAACTAAGCTCTCTCTTGACAATATAAAAATGTCATCCATAAAGATGCACAATTACAATTTTGAGAACTTCACAGACCACAGGGAGCACATCTGCATGCCTTCATTTAGGAACATCCAGGTAATAGAAACCACAGTAGGAATTTTTAGCAGGGGAGTGATCCTCTGAGGGAGTGGGAGAGGGTCAATGGGCGAGCAGTGGGACTGGAAGGAGATGGGCAGTTTATCACACTACATCTGGGGCCAGCTATATTAGAGGAATATGTTATGTGCAAGTATGATGGCTGGAGACAGATTCGCCTGTAATAGTCAACTGGCATCCTTAGATAAGTCCATTCACCTCTTATAACTTCACATTCCCTTCCATACAGCGGGCCTGCCAGGGCCACCTCACTCAGTAGAGTTTCAGTGAGATAACCTGCATCTCCTGGTAAAGAGAGCATAACTCCTATCAGACCATTATCGCAAAGAGGCTCCTTCTGAAATCTCCCACCTTGGCTCTGAGGGAGGGGATTATCCCAATTCAGGTCACAAAGTTGACTATGAGATGGAAAAGTGGCCTATACCCTTTCTCCAGGCTCACAATAAAAGGGGAGCTTGCGTACAAAATATGGTGTCACCTGACTCTAAAGTCATTTCCAAAACAGTGTCACAAGCAAACAGGCAGGAGTAATTTGGAGAATAAAAAGAATGATGCATTTTTCTCAAAATCTGGGAAGGTATGTTGTTTCAACCAAACATGGCTTCTCATAAAGAAAGTGCTAGAAAAAGTATAAATATTACTTCTAATAATAACGGTGCTATCTGTTTTAATTAAGCCAAGCAACTTTTTTGGGTTGAGTGCTGTGGCATCACAGCTCACAGCAACCTTGAACTCTTGTGCTTGAGCAATCTTCTTGCCTCAGCCTCCCCAGTCGCTGGGACTACAGGTGCCCACGCCTATGCCCAGCTAGTTTCCAAACAACTATTAAAGAAACCTGATTAATTCCTGTTTTTAGTCTAATGGTGGACCCTCAGAGAAGGGACCCAATTTGTCATTGTCTGAGCCTCATAGCTGCTTCCCTTTCAGCACAACAGGAAGGCCGAGTCTCTCCTTTATAAATCTGAGCCAGAAATTTAGATTCTATCCGTAGCACTTACATTTCAAGTAGAAGTCTAATTTCAAAGTGCTTACCTTGTCAGTATTTCACAGATTTGGAGAAAAATGCCCCATTCTTTTTATTCTCCAAATTACTCCTGCGTGTTAGCTTGCCATACTGTTTCTGAAATAACAAATTTGGGAAGGCTCTTTTCTTTTAGATTCTTCTCTTTTATATAATGCTCATCGTGGATTCCCAGTATTTCTTAAGAGAAAAGATCCCCCCTCCCCCAAAGAGACAATGTCTCAGAGTGGTGCTGAGCTTTATTTGGCTACAAAACTCACCCCCTGTGTAGTACATAATAGGGAAAACGCTAGTTCCCTCTGTTAAGAGTTGTCTCTCACATCTAGGGAGGTAGCGTAGGACGTTGGATGTTCAAGTCCCGTGAGTAGGCATGTAGTACTATCTCACTCCGATTAACAGAGACCCCTCTAATTTCTCTCTCTCCTGATAGTCCTAAGAAAAATTAACAACTATTTTTAATTTATTTTTTGATAAGCAACTTCTAGCACATTGTATTGGGAATAAAACACCACTGAAAACGTGTGGTGGTGGATGCTGGAAAGGGATGATTTGCATTATTTTGTTTTTTTATTTCTCCAGAAGTAGAAGTGTGAATAGCAACAGTGGCACAGTCCCTGTGGCAGGATAATTCCTTATTTTGCATGACCCTTTTCAAGGAGCTTACTTTCACATCACATACGTAAGATCTCAGATGTCTACACAACAGCCCTGTCTAATATGTAATCCTGTTTATGGGTGAGGAAGCTGAGACGCAGGAAGATAGGCGTGCCACCTTGCGTGAAGACCACTGCTTAAAAATGGCATAGATACTGTCACTGGTGTGGGCTGGGTCAG